AATTGAATCGATTCTAGAAATCAGTGACGATACCCAGCCCTATTTTAGAAGTAGTAAAAAGTAAAAACGATGTGTTTTGGAGTCGAGAAGGAGTCTGACTGGCTCAGATCTCTGAGATCAACAGACAGAGGAAGTTTTTATAATTCCCCCTGTAGTGTGGCTGAAGAGTGTGTAACTTGATAAACAGTAATAGCAACTGAGGTTATGAGCTAATTGACCCACTTGGATGCCTTTTGTGCCTGAGTCTTGTTACACTGCCCATGCCAGTGGCTTCATTGCCGTAGTGTCTGTTGCTTCTTTGTAGTTTGATAGGAGTCGATATTGCACTATTTGTGATCATCTTTGTTTGTGATGTTTTTATTGAATTCATGAGAGACACGCGGAGCAGGTATGGCTATTCAAGGTCGTCCGACTTCTAGCTTTGTTCCTGGTATTCACTAAGTGAATGATGGTGAAGGTTATCTGTCTTGTATAAAACATGTGCTCTGTATTTGGAGATTTGGAGAGTAGTCTGTTTTATCTCTTGAGTACTTTTGCATATTAAAGGTGTTTTTCTTATTAATGGTCAGAATTAAGTGGAAACTGAAGGAGAGGCAGATCTATAAGCTCTTTATAAAAATACAGAGTAGAAACCATCGTATTTACATCACAGTGATGGCTTTTTTTTCGTTTTTTTAAAGGCAAAAGGAGTGTTTTTTCTCCTACTTGTCCTCTATTATTGATCGGTCGGTCAAATTTGCACAGTAGTTATTCCGCTGTGCTTAAAATACTAACATATATTAACTGAAAGTGAACTAACGATACATTTTTGCCGTAAATGTTCAATTTTGTGCTGAAACTGATGGATGGGGATGGTTTTTGTATTCTGTCCTTCCAACAGCACCCAGCAGCTGCGTGGTGACTGAGTGGGGGGAGTGGGACCCCTGCAGCGTCACCTGCGGGATGGGCATGAGAACAAGGGAGCGTATGGTAAAGATGCCCCCTATAGATGGATCCATGTGTAAGACCGAGGTAGCTGAAGTGGAGAAATGCATGATGCCAGAATGCCGTGAGTCAACAGTTGCTGTTTTGTCATATGTTGGTTTTTTTGCATGAGCATTTGTTGATATATTAACACATCATTTGCATTTTATTTTAGCTGACTGTAATGAATGAGCAAATACTATAATTACGTGTGTGTATCACTTAAACCAGATACCATCCCCTGCATGCTGTCGCCTTGGTCGGAGTGGAGTGAGTGTAGTGTCACATGTGGACGGGGGATCCGAACACGGCACAGGATGCTGAAGTCTGATCCTGCAGAGTGCACTGAAGAGCTGGAGCAGACAGAGAAGTGCATGCTGCCTGAGTGTCGTAAGTGCTCTTTTGTTGTTCTTCTTCTTCTTCTTAGGTAGATACCGGGTACAGCTCACACTCTCACATCTAAAACCAGCCAAACACAAAAGAGAGCTGAAGATTAAACGATCCCTGTTTGCATTAACTGAACAGGATTACATGAGAAAAGTGGAGACTAAGTAATTGAAAGTAATACAGAAAGCCAGAGTGTATTAACATAGTAACTAGTTACCTATTAATGCTAATATCTGATCACACCAGCTCAATGCATTTGGAAATTTGGAGGTGGTCAAGATAACCTGCTGAAATTCAAACTGACCATTAAAACGGCGACTAACATTGCTTTAAGTGACTTTATATTTCAGAAACTGCTGATCTACCAGGTTTTTCCCACGTAACTATCTGTACGGTTTGCAAATAATAGTGAAAAAAAGAGATCCAAATATCCGATGAGCAGCATTTCTCTGTGAGAAAATGCCTTGTTGATGCCAGAGGTCGGAGAAAAGGCGAGGGTGATTTAAGCTGATAGGAAGGCAACAGTAATTCAAAATAGCCACTTGTTACAACCGTGGGATGCAGAAGAGCATCTCTAAACTCGCAGCACATTGAACTTTAAAGCAAATAGGCTGCAAAAGACCACATCGAATGCCACACCTATCAGCTAATATTAACAAACTGAGGCTATTTTGCACAGACTCACCAAAAGTGGACAATAGAAGACTGGATGTTCTGATGAGCTCACCGAATCTATGCCAGAAGGAGTTAAGGCAAAAGAGATCCCAATACGATAAACTGTGAACTGATTCCTGATTTCTTTGTGTTTTCATTTCAACTACAACTTCAGCTGATATGTAATAATGGTGTCCTTTCTGCAAAGATTCCTAAAAATGCAAGAAATAAGAGTCTCATCCTCCATATGACCTCAGATAGGACCCTGGTCTTCATCTGTGCCCCTCCTAATGCTCAAACAAAACCTACCCCCTGAGGTATCAACCTCAAAAGTCACATTTTGGTCAGGCTTTAATGATATTACTAAGAAAGGTGTTAAAAGTGTTTTTTTCTTTTCTTTTCTTGTTTGACTATAGAAGAGGGTAGTTAATCAGGGTGTCAGTGATTTCCTCCAGGACTAAAACAGTGGCGCTGCCACACTTACTAGACATAAATCACACACAGCGCAGAGTCATTCCCATCTTCATAGCCAAAGAGTAAGATTTATTCTCCTTGCCCACAGTGTATTTCAGTAATTATTTAACATGCCCCCATCACTTTTTCTCAGACTTGGGGACTATGTGGAGTCATATGTCATTGCTTAAGAGCTGAAACTTGCAGAGCAGGGAGAGAATTGACAATAGTAATCACTTGCCTTTGAGCACAGCAAAGTTTTTTTGTATGATAAATTAGTCACGTACGGGGTTAGAAATTAACCATAAACCGTTTCGTCGTGTTGAAGATGTAGCAACTTTGCATGAAATGGATTCAGCCCATTCCCCTAAATTGACCACATGCCACATGTGACTAGTAGCACTATAGTGTGACAAAGGCTACGTTCACACTGCAGGTCTTAATGCTCAATTCCGATTTTTTGATCGAATCCGATTTTTTTGTCTGCTCGTTCACACTACAAATAAAATGCGACAGCAAACGCGCTCTAGTGTGAACGCTCAAAGCGGCCCGCATACGCAAAAGAAGACGTCACACACAACGCGCTCTGTTTAGACCCAGAGCAAACAGTATTGTTTGACTGATGGCCCTTAATATAAAGACTTCGGACTTCACGTTTCCCAATTTTTGCTCCAAGTTATTTTGTTATTTACATAATAATGTAGATAACCTAATAATGATCCTTATTGCTGTTTTAGAGGAGCGGTGCTTCAAAGGATAGTTGCAGATTTCTGTCAGAATCTGCAGATTATACAGTACAAATAAAATGTTCACGTTTCTCCAACGTTGTCTTCCCAACAGTTTCACTGACATCTACATGGGATGGCCAGGAAGCGTTCGCGATGTCTTCTCCGGCGCTGATAATTGGCGTCTGTCTTGTGTCAGTGACGTAAAAGACGGATTTAATGCGACCTGACCGTTCAAACAGCAGACGCTTTCTGAAACATCGGATATGTATCGGATTCAGTACCACATACGAAAGTGACCCAGATCGGATTTGAAAATATCAGATTTGTGCCGTTCACACTGTCACACCATGATCGGATATGGGTCGCATAGGGTCAAAAAAATCGTATTTGATGCGCTTTCGCCTGCAGTGTGAACGTAGCCTTAAACATGACTGAACACCATATTGGATTGGTCATTTCCAATCACGATATAGCATGCACTGCTAGCTTTTAGAAATCTTTTATCTGCATTAACTTTATAATTTTGGTATAAAAGTGAGCAGCTGCCGTGCTCATTGGGAGTTGATCTGTATAATGTGAATACACTAGTTGCATGTACATCCAGACAAACACAAAGGTTAAGTCTTAGTTAGCATGGTGTGCAACACTCTCTTTGTTCCAGACTCTTTGTTCTGGGCTGTAACTGTGAATGTTCATCAGCACTCGTGCTGTCATGCTGGTGACAGCATTGAATCAGGAAAAACCAAGAAAGAAATGGATATAGAAATAGAAAAATGGTATAATAATAATATTTAAGGGCTATGTAACAATGAACCAGCAAAGTCAAGACAAAAGCACACTAAGTAAACGCCAGGGAGAAGATAATAAGGTCAAGTGAGCTCACCAATCCTTAAATTTTGTGCCTTTATTCCTGTCTTTCCCTCCATGTTTACCTTTTCCCCTTCTCTTCCTTTTGTCCTTCCATCGATCTAGCTGTCGACTGCATGGTCTCAGAGTGGTCAGAGTGGTCAGAGTGCAACAAGACCTGCGGTAAAGGACACACCATTCGGACCCGTATGATCAAAGTGGAGCCACAGTTTGGAGGCAGCTATTGTCCTGAGACCATCCAGAGGAAGAAGTGCAAGCTCCGGAAGTGTCGGCGAAAACCGATTAAGGAGGAAGAGGTGCCAGGTTGGTCGCGGTAGTCTGTTGAAACTGCTTCATGTAGCATTTAGACATTTTAACGAGCCGATGTTTTAGATGGTTTTTAGTGGTTTTATTCCAGCAAAGCAATTTAAGTCAGGACTGAGATACTAGACCAGGGGTGGGCAATCTCAGTCCACGAGGGCCGGTGTCCCTGCGGGTTTTAGATGTGTCCTCGAACCAACACAGCTGATTTAAATGACTAAATTAGCTCCTCAACATGTCCTGAAGTTCTCCA